AGACACCAGTGGGAGCTATTCTTTGTCTCAATCCACATCAAATCCAGCTAATGTTTGCTTCAAATCAGCAGTCTGCACCTGGCCATGGATAAATGAATAGTCGAAAATATAAAGGTTCTTAAAAATAAGAATTTACACACATATAATTACTCAGGAAGAAAGGACTAGAACACGACAAAGGTAGAAATCCCAGCCAGAGAATAAGAGACTTTTAGTTTGAAACTGCACCAGATCTGGGAGTTCTGGAGTACTTTGACTCTGATGTTATTTAAGGGTTGTGGTGTTTTGTGTGTGTGTGTGTGTGTGTGTGTGTGTGTGTGTGTGTGTGTGTGTGTGTGTGTTTTTTTTTTACATTTAAACACTCCCTGCTTCAGATACAGAGGGAGACCTGATTTGTTTCTGAGAAAGCTGTCCCTCTCGAGGGCCAATTTGCTTCATAAAGATTTTCCTTTGGCAAAAGAGCTCACTCCCCCTTCTCTTTGGCTCTGGGGTAGGAGATAACAAAAGAGCTCTGGGAGGTAATAATTACAGTCATTAGTTCACAAAGGAGACAGTCAGCCAACAGGCAGAGGAGGCAGGCCGGGGTCAGCGAAAAGCTTTCAAAGCCCCTTCCTCGATTAAGAGGGAGACCCAGGCTTCAGTGTCTGCAAGCCACAGACGGTCTCCTTGGATGGCCTTGTCTGTGGTTTGCTTGGTGACTGTATCGCAGGGTTGCTCAGCAGAGAGTCTTTGACATAAAATTTCTCCAGCCAAAATATCAACGAGAAAAAAGGAAAAAAAAACCAACACAAAACACAACCTTTGGGAAATACAAAGCAAGTAAAGTCAAGAAATGGCACCTTTTCAATTATGTATTTGCCAAGGTTCAGCCCACTTTTTTAAAAAGGGAGAGGTTTTAGGAAATAAATCTGTTGTCTCTTCATTCATAAACCGAGAGCCTGGGGTGCCAGTTCTGGTCTGCAGAGCCCCCACCCCCACCCCCACCCCCGAAACCTGGACTGGATGATGGTTTTGACAGAGAAAGGGATCTAGTTTTGTTCTGAAGGGATGGACAGGTGCATAGGAGAGGAGAGGCCACTTCTCGTCTTGGTTAAGTTCCCCTTCCAGAGTCTTGGGCACCGCTCTCCTACCAAGCCAACACCTACCCCGCCATCAATGTGGAACTCGGGGTGTCTCTCTCTCTCTCCCTCCCTCTCTGTGTGTGTGTGTGTGTGCACGGGCGTGGGTGATTCCTCACTGCCGCCCAAGGATAGTTGCGATTAGAAAGGAACAGCCAGGCCTGCCCGAACTTGGACTTGAGGTGCTGCCACATCACAGTGGGTTGTCTGTTCCTTTGGTCAAGTCTCCTCCCCCCTCTCCCCAGGCATCTATCAACCACAATTCTTTGGGTCAGAGCAGATGTCACACCTTTATTGAGAAATGACACAGACCTTAGCCATTAGGTGCGCCCTCACCGGCTCCTCCCGGATCTTCCCCAGCCTCCTGGGCCTGCTGTGGGCACAGACGGGCCCCTTTCCTTTCCTAACCTTTGTCTCAGTTCAGAGCTGCCCGCCCACCAAGCCACCCTTCCTCTCCAGGCCGCCTGGACGCTGGTGCTTTAGAAGGGCTTCTCCTGTGTTTTTAAAATAACGCACAATCAACTGACTGTGAAATGCAGTAAATTTTAATTACTCTTACAGAGCGCAGCAGACATTGCATCTAATTTGAAGACGACGCTAGTCTAAAGAGCGAAAAGTCTAGATCCGTTCCTGGAGCTTAGGTTTTGTGTAGAACATCAAACCCATGGCAGATTCTGACTCAGTCCAACTAGTGAGTAGAGCTCCGCCCTCTGGAGTTTCTAAGGTTTTAATTTTTTGAATAGCAGAGTGGCTGGTGGCGTGTGTCCGTTTTTTCCTTATCTAGTGAGTGCTTAATCACTGCACCACAAGGACTCTTGCTAAATTTTGGTTATGAGGGGCCGAAAGAAAACAAACTGACTTGGAGAGCAGCTGTGTGTGTGTGTGTGTGTGTGTGTGTGTGTATTTGGAAGTTTGGCGGCTGCGGAGAGTCACACGTGGTGCGTGGTTTCAGATAGATTGCGTGTGGTGGGGACGTTTAAGGATAGAGACCTTTTTTACTCGCACTGTGGACGCCACCATCTGCAGGGCTGGAAACCAGGAGCCAAGCCACAACAGGGACCATTCTGGATCAGACCCACACCCATAGACTTTCTAAGGCACTTTATTTAGCAAATTTAATAACCAAGGGAAGAGAAAGCAGACAATTGAGTTGACGTTTATCTTAAAGTCCCTGCAATTGATTCTTGATGTAATCTACCTGAAAGTATCCCAAGGGTTGTGGTGGCCGTTTTCCAAAAAAAAGAAACATTTGAGGTCAAAGAGTCTGCAAGAGCGCAGGCGCAGTCAGGCCACAAAGGGAGATTAAAAACTAGTGACCACAAGGGCTGCTAGTGATGTGGGGGCAGGGAGGGCCTGCCACTCACTGGCTGGCTGCTTCGAGTGCAGGGCAGGGAGTGAGGGGAAGTGGGTCAGGGGAGTCTGTTAAGGGCTTCCAGTGTCCCTCTTTTGGACCACCGAGGGGTGCTGGGCTGAGCACTCCAGGGAGAGTACAGCCCTTGCCACCACCGAGGTCAAAGCCATTTCATGGGCTCCTCATCCATGAGCTTTGGCTCCCGCAGCCTCAGGCACATCAGCAACACTACAACTGCTGGACTAGGCGCCTGCGCTGGGAAGTTTTGCGCAACAGTCTCCTGTAGTCATAGGGGCTGGCTCTCGAGTTGCTCTCCTCCTCCACGTCCTCCTCTTCATCCTTGGGGCTCTGCGTAGCCCTGCACCTACAGAAGAGACACAGGGCTCCAGAGCATCAGTGAAGCTCCATTTAAGACCCACTCTGCCCCTTCCAAGTCAGGTGGTTCCTTTATCCCACTCTTCCCATTAGCAGTGTTTACCTTTAGACTCTGTGGCTCCCCCGGAGAAGCAGGCAGCTCTTTAAAAAGCAACTACATAGAATGGGTCATTCTCTCATGGAACACCTATGTGTCAAGCCAGGAGATTAGGTGAGGGGGGAGCAACAAGTTCATCCCTTCTCTCATGGGCTTTGTAGTCTAGCATGAGAGAGGCTCCTACACCACGTTATTGTATCAGGTGGTGGCAGGTACTATGCAGAAAATTGAAGCAGTATGGCGTAGGGGTTGCAGTGTGTTTAAACCATTATCTAGATGGCAGGCAGCCAGGCCTCTTGGAGGAAGTGGCATCTGAGGAGGGGCCTGAGGGAAGGAAGGGGGTAAGCAGATCAAGTCTCTTGGAGGGAAAGGGACTCATTCTAAGGACACATGAACGTTCCAGGACTAGAATAGGCCTATTGTGTGAAAGAATGGTAAGAAAGTTAGTGTGGTTGGAATGGAGTAGCAGATAATTTGAAATCAAGGGAAGGATTTATATTTCACTTAGAAGAAACAGAAGGGTTCAAGCAGAACCTTCCTGTATAGAACTACTCTGTCATTAGAGTGGAACATTTCTGAACATGAACATGCTACTATTTATCTTTTATCATAAATGGACAGATTCATCTTTGTTACAGATTGAATTTTGTCCCCTTAAAACATGAGTTATAAATTCCAATTCTCTGTGGCAATAACTTTGGGAATAGAGGATTTTGGGTTTTGTTGTTAATGAGGTTTTATAGGTGTAGGGTATGTCTTACACAGATCCCTTTTGTGATTAAAAAAAAAGCCAATGAGGCACAAAAGAAGCAAGCAAGAATGGGATGGGGGAAGAGAGATTCCAGGTGGAGATCTCTCAGGGGTATCTGAATGCAGAGAAGAGGTTTTCCCCAAAGACAACAGAGAAATCTTCCCAAGAATTAGCTTATTGAATCTGGACTTCCTACTTACTAAACTGTGAGAGAATAAATTTCTGTTAGCTAAAGTCAACCCCTTGTGGTGTTTCTGTTATAGCTAAACTAAGAAACTAAGACAATCTTTTGTCATACAAGAGGCAGAAATCATAGTTCAGACAGATTCTGGTAAAGCTCATCTAATACACACTATTCAATAAGGAACCCCCAACTGTATAGTATTGTATTGTGGACCCATAGCTGACTCTCCAGCGGGTTTTCAGAAAGAGTTAATTGCACAGGAAGAGACTGCCCATCTTTTTCTCATGGAGCAGCCGGTGCATCCAAACCGTATTACCTTTGAGTTGTTAGTGCAACTCTTTTCCACTAAGCCACAAGGCTATTCCTTGGAAAAGGGCATCATTCTTGGAAAGATGGAGGGTTGTAAAGAAGAAGAAAAACCTTAATGAGATGGACTGACACAGTGACTTCACTTATGGGCTCTAGTATGTCAGAGATGATGAGGAAAAGGTAAGGTTCAGGTTGGATGTACGTAGGATTCTTATGAGCTCTACTGGACTTGACAGCGCCTAACACCACTGCTTACTACATGCCGTAAATGGTGTTAAGTATTTCACATACAGCATTTCATTTAATCTTGACAACAGTGTAGTGAATTAGTTATTAAGTGCTTTTGCACAAGTGGAAGCTGAGACTTAGTGAGGCCAAGAAACATCAGCAAGATCACTCCAATGTTTGACTCTAAAATCTCTTTGATCACCACCATCTCACATTGTAAAACAGAAGGTCTGAAGTGCCTTAGGCAGAGAGCATGTTTATTTAGAATGTTGAACCAACTGATCCACTGCCTGTCATTGCTCTCACTTCTCATTTGTCATATTTCTGCTGCATTACAGATCTTTAATTTCAAAACGTCACAAAGATTTGGTGGCAAAAGAAAAAAAAAAAGGATCCCATAGTAGTAAACAAGATAAAAAAGGTTTAAATTACCTACTCAACTTAAGAAAGTCTATGGCATGGTGAGAAGTCAAATATAAGATACCTATTTCTATGCGAACTTCTGTCCCAAATATTTTCTGGTCTAACATCACTGGTTTGAGAAATAATATAGCGTTAAATACAACAAGGAATTAAAATTATATTGGTTAGAGATTGACCACAGATTCTGGATTTGGTTTATTGCTTATAATTAGGATGACCATGTAGTTTATCATACAACTAGGAGTAATTTTGAAAAGAAAAGGGAATGCTATTAATAATTACACCAAGAAAAGAAGTAGAAACTGGGAGTGTCCTAAGCAATTCAGGATAGCAGATTACCCTAACAGAATACTTATTTTATCTGATCTTAACTCCAAAATAGGTAAATGTCCCCCTCAACAGAATCCACAACATAAAACTTAATTCCCATGAAGTCTGATGTGTCTGCCACACCCCTACTTCTAATTCAAACACCAGTCCTCTTGTTCTTCAGGGTTTGAAAGTAGTATTTGTTTTTTATTTTTTCACATAAAAAAGGATACTTATTTTACCTTTAAAAAACTATCACTCATAAGATGCAATATAGAATATAAATTTACCCTTAGTCCACATAGAGAATACAGTTGCTTAAGCAACGGAAATGTGATTATAAATTTGAAAAAGCTGTTTATTACCTTTTATCAGCTTTAAAACACTGATTCTGGAGCTCATTTTGTAGTCTTTGTTCTTTTAAACTAGGGCTACATTCCTTTGGTCCAGAATGACTGGGTGAAAACTCCTTATAGTAGAAGTCTTCCAGATCTAATAATTTTCCTTCACTGTAAATGAACACATGAACACATCAAAGCATCAATTTAATTTTTCACTCACATAAACTTACAGGATGCTTCTTTTATTTTTGAACAATATTTACTATAGGGAGCTCTGGTGGCACAGCCTGTTAACAGTTGTGCCGCAAACTCAAAGGGTGACATATAAGGGAGCTCTGGTGGCCTAGCGATAAGGAACTATACTACCAGTCCAAAGGCATGCAGTTCGAGTCCACCAGCTGCTCTATGGGAGAAAGATGGGTGGTCTCCTTCTGCGTAACTTACAGCCTCTAAAAACCTGCCAGAGGGTCAGCTCTGAGTTGACCACACATAACACAACCAACAACACATATGCTAGGAAGAAGGCATACATGTTAGCACATATGGAGGATGTCTTGAAATGCACAAAAACCCAGCTGTTGTTAGGTGCCATCAAGGCACCTAAGGCTCACAGTAACCCTATGGAAAAAGATCTGAAGGGAACATTAGCTGTTGCAGAAACTCTGTTTAGTTCTTTCTCATTCAAGTAGTTATTAGACTAGTAGGTTAGTAGACTGGCCAGTGATTAGATTGTTCCCGTTTAATCAGTTTAGATTAAGGATCACAATTGACCCCTATGCTGGAATCAGAAAATCTGAATTTTATTCATGAACATACAACATTCCTACATAAAGATTGATGATCTCAGCTTGTTTCCTTCATGTTGTTGTTGTGTACTGGCAAGTTGGAACTGACCAACGGCTGACCATCCAGCAGGTTTTCAGAGGCAGTTAATCTCACCAGAGGAGACTGCCAGTCCTTCTCCTGCAGGGTAGTGGGTGGATTTGAACTACATGCCTTTGGGATTGCAGTGAAGTTTTTTACCCTAAGCCACCAGAGCTCCCTGCTTCCTTGATAGGTAACCTTCTGTTCTCCCCGGTGCCTTTGTCTTCAGGAGATTACTTACTGAACTAGAGTCTAGTTTCTGTATTTAATATATGAATAGGGGAGTGTCCTCTGTCACCTCCAAGTCTTGAAACCACTTACAGTTCCACTGTCCATGGTTTTCCGAATGCTGTGACTAGTGAGGTGTGGAAAATAACCCAGTATTAGAGTGCTTCTAGGAAAAATATTTTTGTGTGTTATGGAACTAACTTATAGATAAATGATCCTTCAGAATTCCACCAATTCACAACCTGGGAACTCTGTATACACTTCAACTTAGTAGAACTCTCCTTGGTTACTAGCACTGCCTGGATATTGGTTGGTGTGCATAGTAATTAAATAGTGGCATAGCCCTGAAATAGTAAAATACTAGTCTGATAATCTGTAATGATCCAGAAAAAGGAACTATTGTGAATTCACTTTGATAAACTAGAGACTTTTAAACCACTAAGATGACGAGGTGGCTCAGCACTAGCTATCAAAGGTACAATAATGTAAGCATTTTAGCTACACTCTCAATTCTCTAAAAACAGCTCAGAAAGGTAAATATTGTTTGTTCTTTTACAGATGGAGAAGATGGAGCTTAGAGAAACAGAGCAAATTGTGAATGGTTATATAACTATCTGCATGAGGACCCAGGCCTGTGGAGTTCAAAATTTGTCTCTACTTCCCATGTGTCACACCAGCTCCCTTAATTAGAAATTTAATCTTTGTTACTCAGTCCATCATTTATTTTTATTTTTCTTAAACTTATAAACCCTGGAGGACATTATGTTGAGTGAAATATCTCAGTCATTGCCACTGCTGTAAAGCGGGACTGACACTGGAGCTGGGGGAAACTAGGAGGGGATAATGTATACTGCATTGAAACAGAGGGAGAGAACTGTTTAGGAGGAATATATGATTAGGTATTATTGTCATGACAAGAGTCCAGAATGAAAGCTGCATAGTGATATTGTAAAACAATGAAAGATAGATAGATAGATTGATTGATTGATTGACTTTCAAAGAGAAAAGAGAACTGGGGGAAGTGGTGGGCAGGGAGGAAAGTGTGCAACAGTGAATAAATGGAAATCCAAAGTCTCTGTAAACTTTCATTAAAATAAAAATAAAGAAATGCTGAGTGAAATGTCCCAGTCACAAAGGGACAAATATTGCATGGTGCCACTGTTGTAGAACGGGACTGCCCTTGGGGTTGGGGAGAGACTGAGTAAGATGGGTTCAATAATGTATGCTGCTCTGAAACAGAGAAGGGAGAAAACTGTTTAAAAGAGATATGTGATTAGGTATTTCTGTCATGACAGGAGTCTAGAGCGATGGCTACATGGTGGAGTGGACCTGGGGGAGGGTTTGCAAAATAATGAAAGAATCTTTTCTTTTACTTTTCCAAGAGGGTAATGTCCTGGGCGGGGGGAGCCTTGGGAGGGGACAAATCTACAACAATGAATGAATGGAAATCCAAAGCCTCTGTAAATTTTCACTGAAATTCATAACAAATTTAAATTTAAAAAAAAGAATTAAGTTAGAGTAAGGATGGCAATGGAACCACCTTACCTCTGTAACTTGATTTGTGCCACTATTAGAACCTCTACTCAGAATATTATTGCTTTTCAATTTTTGACTCATGCACTTTTAACTTGTTAGTTAAATTTGTATCTTCTAGGCTGCAACACTTCCATGATACATCTTCAAGGATATGAACATGTACGGCTAAGCACAATTAATAACAGTGCATCTAAATTCCAAAATCAATCTCCATAATAGTCTATGTGTTTCCTACTGCCAAAGGGGCCCTTTAGAGTAGTGAGAGAAGACATTCACCCTGAAACCCACAGTGTCCATTTTCAGCAGGAAGTAGCTAAGAGAATACGCCATCCCTTTTTCTTATGAATCAGGGTGAAGTCTCTCTCAGGGAGGAGTGATAGGGAATGGCAAGGGACACACTGACAAAGGAGATTAATCAGAACTGGCTTTGACAAGCACTGTGGCAATTGGACAATCAAAACAGACATGGGGGGGGGAAAGAAGAACGAACTGGGGATGAGGGTGGAGAAAACAGTGCAACAATGAATGAGTGAAAACCCAAAATCTCTGTAAATGTTCATTAAAACTAATAAAATTTAATGAAAATAAAAAAAAGGAAAAAAGAACAACAACAAAATAAAGCCCTTTATAAATATTCTTTTGTTGTGTGATGTCAAGTCAGAAATGACTCACAGCTGACCCTCCAGCAGGTTTTCAGAGGCAGTTTAATTGTATGGAGGAGATTGTTAAGTCTTCTCCCACAGAGCAATTAGTGGAATTGAAATGTGGCCTTTAGGATTGCAGAGCAACTTCTTACCACTAGACCACCAGAGTTCCCTATTAATATGCTTGTTGATATTGTTAAGTGCTAAGTGCCGTGGAGTTGTAGATGACTCATAGCGACCCTATGAATGAAAGACCTGGACACTTGTATAACTTTCATCGTTTCTCCAAATTCATAGGGTTTCCAGAGGCAAGCTGTTCCCGAAGCTGATGCTACTCCTGCTTCCAAGCTTGTTTTAAGCAGGGAGCCCCACCAAACACTGTCCACCATTGGTAACCATTATCGCATTTGACACATCAGTGTTTTAGTGTTCAGCATCACAGCAACCACGAGTTACAGCAAATGGACAGACCAATGCAATACCACTTAGAAGAATGTTTGACCAAAAACAATAAAAACCAAACCTGAGTGCCACAGATTAAAATCACCCACCTTTGGCTTGGTAGCATAACTACTTAAATTCATAAAGATAAAACAACTTCTGAGTTCCCTTATACTCATATATTTATTACAACATTTCAAAAACAGACTGTCATTCTCAGTACAAAGTTGTGTATATTAATTAAGCCCTGGTACTGAAGACAATGGAAAGTACTGGAGGTTAGTTTTAATGTACTTAATATACTTATCTGAGGCCAGGAAAGACTAGAGGTGCTAGTTGTGTGAATAAAGTTGTGACATGAGAAATTTTTCCTGTACTTTAGCCATTCTGTTAAAAAAATGACATGTGTCTTGAATAAAGTGACCATAATCATCAAAGTTTTAATTGTCAATTTAAAAATACTTTAAAATTAAAACACCATCAACTTATAAAGCTTTAGGAAAACCCTACAAAATTAAAACATTCAAAGTTTTCACCTCATTTCAAGTACTTTATGATAGCAGAAGTTGAGGTGGTGGAAGAGTTTTGAAGCTTTTTGTAAACTTAAGTGTGTTTGTTGTGCCTCTGGGTGTTGGGGTTCACCGTATGAAAGAATGTGACATAAACTGTATCTTCCTGAGAGATACATGAAATGAAACATGGTACAATGAAAGGGTGTGACAAAATATTAAAAACAAAAAAGGACATTTTAAAAAGAAAAATCAACAAATGTAAGGAAGGAGTGAATTTAGGGGAAGAAAGTTCATATGCATGGATATGTCCACATGGCTCAATTAAAACAGTATCAATAGAACAAGGAGAGAAAATTCTACACTGAGTTATTTGTATGTACTCAGCACAGTGCTTAAGTCAATCCATTTCCAATAGGAAAGATTCTTATAAACGATATCAGTCACTGATCAATGTTGACCAAGGAGTCAAATCGTAGCTGACCCTTCAGTGTGCTTTTCGAGGTTGTAGATTGCGTGGGAGAAGACTGTTCATCTTTTGTTCTTGGAGCCTCTCGTGGATTTGAATATATATATGTGTATGTTGTTGTTAGGTGCCATCAAGTTAAAACTGACTCATAGCTGGCCATCCAGTGGGCTTTCAGAGGTTGTAAATCTGGAGGAAATGTCCCATCTTTCTCCCCTGGGGAGAAAGGTTTGGTAGGGCAACTCTACCCACTTGGCCCTAGAGCTCCATCTAACTATATATTGGCAATCTCCTCCCATGCTATTTATAGATGCTGGAAATCTACTGGAGGGTGAGCTGTGTTTTTGTTGTGTACCATCGAGTCGGAACTGACTTATAACTGATTCTCTAGCGGGTTTTCAGAGGCAGTTAATTGCACGGGAGGAGACGCCCATCCTTCTCCAGTGGGAGCAGCTGATGGATTCAAAACATGTGCCTTTGGGATTGCAGAATAATTTCTTACCACTAGGCCACAGAGGTTAGCTGTGAGTTCCAATTCAGTGGCAATGAGCTTGAGTCTACATATATAAAGTTTAGATATATGCATATATACATAAAGGGTGAAGGGATAGTGCAAGAGAGGAAGACCCTTGATGTGTCTGAGACAGTAAGACTGACACAGGATAGAGCAGGGTTTAGGGCTGCTGTACATAAGATCACTATTAGTTGCAAGGGACTCGACAGCACATAACAACAATAGTAACAGCAACAACCCACACCCATATATTTATAATACAGACATATTGAAAAGACATTATTTTCCTAGCTCTAGCCACAAAAGCTAGGTGATTTTCAAACTTCAAATTTATTTACTCATAATTTTATTTGAGTAAGGCAATTTATTGGAATCTAAAGAGAATAATTACCTGTCTTTCCTTGGTCTCCGTTTTTCCTCTTGAATTGATTTCTAAAGGGAATAGAAGAATTTAAAAATTGTCAGTGACATAATATTAATATAGAAATACTATATTCTTAAAAAGTACCATCTTAGAAATGAGCAAATGGGCACAATAGCTTCAAATTCTAAAGAATTATAACTTACTCACATTTTACTAATTTTGAAATTTTACAAGACTTGGATTAAAATATTTGTATACTATATGAAGGAAGACTTTACCACAGAATGATCAGGATGAACAAGATTACATAAAAGCCCATTTACCTACAAATGGGTAAAAAAATGAAAGAATATCAGGGAGACCTATGACTAATGCAGCTGCAATGTGAACAGGTTAACTGGAGGCTTTGATGTCCTTGCTTACATATATTTCCTGTCTTCAGTTAAAGGCAGATGGGTGGATACTGGGGCAGGTGCAACAGTCCACAAAGAGAATGAAAAGAGGGCTTTATAAACCCACAGGCACTCATTCATGACTTAAAAGTAAGAGCATCAGGCAGACGTAATTTATATGGAGGTTTGCAAAATATTTTCATAGTTGAGAACGTCATGTATAAAGGCACAAATTATAATATTCATGCAAAGAGATATATTTTAATTTCACTTCAAAACACCCACAAGATGGTACTTCATTTTCTCTCATATGTAAAGCAATATTGCTTACAAGACAAAGTAATATTGTTTTTCCTATTTTAGCATAAACAGTGGCTTCACACTATGTTCATATATTTATGCATTGAAGAGCATATATGCCTTTTAGACTTAAGAAAACAACCACCCCACTCTCCTGAGGAAGCTGAATAGTTATAATTTTACAAGCCCTAATGCAGATGTCAAGTTGGCTGGCACTACAAAAGTGCAAGATAACAATGGCAATTAGTAATGATTTGTAAGTATTAGGGTTATTTCACAGCATTTTTTTACAGAATGATAAATATTTTTCCACTTGTAATTTATCATTTATTATAAAATACTAAATGAAGCAAATAGTTCTGAGGTGCTTTTATTCTTATTGGTTGGCATTTTAGTGGATGTATAAGGTAGGGGGGAATCTTTAAATGCATCATGGCTCTGAGTAGACTTTTTAGGAAATAACAATGTAAGGGAAATAATGCCTATTACATTCCTGTCTCCTTCTCACTTCCTATTACTTCACACAGTTGATCTAATCCCCTAAACTAATAGGTGTTAACATCTGATTTCATCACCAGCATAGGCACTGTGGCCACAGTCTGTCCAGTTACTGATGTGAGGGATCAGGGTACTAGGGTGGTGTTTGGTGTGATTTGAATAAGTCATTAATAATTTCCTACAAGGGTCCTGCCCCCTAATTCATTAACTGGAAAAAGTGTCTATCGGTCTTGGTCCTTGGATCTTCTAGTCCAAAATTATGCTTAAAGATGGTACTACCTTGAGTGAAAGAAACAGAGGTTCCCTTTACAAAACCAAAAGCCAAATAACAGCCTGCCCTTGAATTCTCTAGCTGGTAAGAACTCTTTTTATAGAGCTGTCAGCATTCCCCTCTGGGAAATAACACATATAAATAAATTGATCCTCAGTTACAGGAATTGCTAGAAAAGGAAACACAATCTAGGCTTATTTCACTCTTGCCTGTGCTCAAAATTTCATTGTCATTGGGTTGGAGCCGACTCCTATTTGACCCTTGAGCGGGTTCTCAGAGTTCTAAATGCACGGGAGGAGACTGCCTATCTTTTTCCTTCAAAGCAGATAGTGGATATGAGCGGTCTGCCTTTGAGTTGGCAGTGCAACTCACCACCGACTCGGCCACTAGAGCTCCTTTCTTGCCTATGCTAGATATTTTTAAAAATGTAATGCAGGAAGTCTTAGTGATAGCAATAAGACAACAGAAGAAAATAAGAGGTATCCAAATTGGCAAAGAGGAGGTGAAATTATCTCTATATGAAGATGATATGATAGTATACTTAGAAAACCCTAAAGACTCAGCAAGAAAACTACAGGGCATAGTTGACCAATTCAGCAAAGTGGCAGGATACAAGATCAGCATATAAAAAGCAATTGGATTTCTCTACAGTGACAAAGAGAGTACAGAACTGGAGCTAAGAAAAACAACTTCCTTCACAAGAGCTAATCACAAAGAGTAAATACAAAGGAACTATTCAAAGAAAATTACAAAACATTACTGTAAGAAACAAAAAGGGACTTGTAGAAATGGAAGAATATCCCTTGCTCATGGATAAGAAGACTCAATAATGTGAAAATGACAATACTACCAAAGGCAATTTACATGTCCAATACAATCCCTATACAAATACCAATTCCATTCTTCAACCAGATGGAAAAGGCAATCTCAAATTTCATTTGGAATGGAAAGAGGCCCCAAATAAGCAAATCATTCCTTAAAAAGAGAAACAAGGTAGGAGGCATCTCACTCCCTGATTTCAAATCCTACCACACTGCCGTGGTAGTCAAGACAGCGTAGTACTGGTCCAATCACAGACACATAGATCAATGGAATAGAACTGAGAATCCAGAAATCAGCCCATTTACCTATGGTCAACTGTTTTTTTAAAAGAAAACAAAAATCCGTTAAGTGGGGAAATGACAGCCTTTTTAACAAATGGCGTTGACAAAACTGGAAAACTATCTGCAGAAAATTCAAGCAAGATCCACACCATACACAAAAGCCAACTCCTAAAACCAAAGACTATAACCTTCATTAGAGAAAAGTTTGAGGAACTTTAGAAGTCCTAATCCACATCAACAGTCTTCCAAGCATTCTGAAAAACTGTCATCCAGAAGAGGATAAAATAGATGAATGGGATTTCTTATAAGAATCAAATCCCTATGTACATCCAAAAACTTCTCCAACAGGGTTAAAAGGAAGGCCACAGACTGGGAAAACATATTTGGTAATGACGTGTCAGATACAGGACTTATATCTAGAATTTATAAAATATTCAAGCACCACAACAAGATCAAGGTAAACAATATGAACAGACACTTCATCATAGAAGACATTCAGATGGCAAACACACACATGGAGAAATGTTCAAAATCCCTAGATCTAAGAAAGATGCAAATCAAAACAACAAATCATCTCACCCCAGTAAGAATAGTAAAATTCAACAGAGGCAAACAACAAATGCTGGCGAAGTTGTGGAGAAACTGGAACCCTTATTTGCTGTTGGTGGGAGTGTAAAATGATGCAACCACTATGGAAGGCAGTACGGTGCTTTTTTAAAACGCTGGAAATAGAAATACCATTTGACCCAGCAATTCCACTACTGGGAATATACCCTAAAGAAACCGTAACAGCCACCCAAGTAGATATAGACAGACCGTTGTTTATTACAGCTTTGTTCACAATAGCAAAGAGTTGGAAACAACCCAAGTGCCCATCAACAAAAAAATGGCTAGAGAAGCTATGGTATATTCACACAATGGAATAATATATTGCAATGAAAAACAAGGAACTCATAAATTATTATACAAAATGGGTGACACTGGAGGACATTATGCTGAGTGAAATAGCTCAGTCAAAAAAGGACAAATACCACATAATGCCACTATTGTAAAGCAGGACTGACATAGGGATTGGAGGGAAACTAAGAAAAGAGCGAGTAAATAATGTATACTGCATTGAAACAGAAGAGGGAGAGAACTGTTTAAAAAGATTAGGCATTATTTTCATGACAAGATCACAGGGAAAAATTGCATATTAAAGTGGACAGTGGACTTGGGGGAGGATTGTATAACGATGAAAGAATTAAGTGAAAAACGAACTGGAGGGAGGTGTGGGCAGGGAGGAAAATGTGCAACAGTGAATGAATAGGGAGAAA